ATAACTTTTGTAATGCTTCAGACGCTTTATTAAAGCCGGTTGGAAGTTCTTCTGGCTCTTCCAGTTCTTCCTCTGAGTCTTCAATTGTACCGGTTTCAATTTCTGCATCCAGAATAATCAACTTCAATAATATAATATTAATATTCGATATTTTGAGCATTCATTGGTAGATTACCAAGTATGTCTGTATTAATAAACATATCCAATTCATGAACTTCCGATTCCTGAGAATGTGAAGAATGTCAATTATAGATGACTGAGCGACATAATCAATTGCTTATTTACATTAGCTTATTTCTAAAGAAAATGAAATAAGATCATATTGCATAAACTATCGTATAAAATATTTACTCAATTGTTTGTATATATGTTGACAGTAAAGTTGTTTGTTTTCCAATCCAATTTTTTTTATCTCTGCAATTTTTTTTAAAAGACCTGATAATACCGGCATGCATCGATTGGAGATGTGATGCAAAGTAATGTTACTCAATCGAAGTAAATATGAGAAGCTGCGTTATCAATCAAAAGCAGCATTCAGGATCGAATTTAGCAGTAAGTTCTTCTTCTGGCAAGCGTTCTGTTGATATACACAGTGGCTCTCGACATAATGATCCCTCGATAATATGAAGTTGGCTAATATGATGCTTTTTCCCGGAACCAAGTCAGTTATAATAAAATTGGGCTCGATGTAATGAAGATTACTTATATAACGTTATAATGATGTTGTTGTGCGATTTATATAAGTAAAACAATCTCGATATAAGAAGTGCGTAATTCATCACTATAATTGGTAATCACATCATATTAAATCATATTTGACTCAAGCGGCGCTTGCTAAACTGTATGGAATTAAAGAAAATACGGTCTCTACCATTCTCGTACTGGCTGACTTTAGACAAAACTTTTTCATTAGCGAAGAGGAAACGCGAACGAATTGCCGCATATTTCGTAATTGAAGAAGCTCTTTATACGTGAAGTAGACGTAATTACTAATTACATTAGACAGCAAAACCAAGAGTTTATTATCGCAAATGCCAGCGACAAGACACCTTATAGAATAGTTATCTGAACAATTGCCATACTGTATATAATAAAGAAATGATGTTTCACGTGACTCGAACATGGTCTTCGCTATGAACTTTCGATAATATGAACCTTTTGGTCCAGCCCGACAACTTGATCTAATAACGGAAATTTAGCGCAAATGATAAAATCTTATTGCAGAAAGTATCGAGTGTCTGGATAGTAAAAAGTCTAGTTTTTTTGAAATTTCCCGTTAAAGTAATTGTCACGGATGGATAACTCGAATGACATTAAATCGAGGAATGTAACGTGACGGTTAATCTTTCACTTATGAGACATTCGCGTTGGGTAGGAATTAACAAGAGTACCAATCCTATTATACAAGTCTGTATGGATGCAACGATGCATATTCGATATTGTCTTAGAAGCATAAAAATCGCAATTTGCCGATAAATATCAAGTCACTAACTGAGGAGTGAATGTTTGTAACACGTCAGTTTAATAAGTAATATAATATTAATATTAATATGCTATTACCTGCTCCGTTAACATAATACTTGTACCTATCCATGATGTCGAACGTGATTTCAGGGGCTATACTATCATATCAGTCGTATCAGAAATAAGAAGAAAGATTCCTTAAAAAGGGTGTGAATCGTGTGAATCACTTTATCTAAATATTGTAAAAGTATGTTCTTATTAATTATGATAAAGGCGCCCAACTGTAATAGGAAATATTTGTGACACGAAAATAATTTTTAACCGATTTTTCGCAGCGAACTTGAACGTGCATCGTGATATTGCAAATTGACAAACAACAATTCGTATTAATTTAGCTTTTTTTGCATCAACTTTATTTCCAATCTCTCTTGACACTGACGCTCTTCAGCATCGAATATTCCCTCATCGCTTCCACTCCCAATTCTTTTCCAAACCCACTATTTCCCATCCCCCCAAAACACAAATAAGGATGTGTAGCATTATAACAATTAACCCAAACTACGCCTGCATTTAATTTGCTGGTACAATATTCTGCTTTTGAATTGTCGCTCGTCCATACACCAGCCGCTAATCCATATCCCGACAAATTAGCAGATGTGATGACCTCTTCAATTGAATCGAAAGACATTATAGTCAGAACGGGTCCGAAAACTTCATCTGCTTCAAATTCCGCGTTTGCATCTGTCATCGGCTTTAACAATGTCGGATACACAAAAAACCCATTTCTATCCATCCTTTTTCCTCCGTAAATGACCTCGACTTTCTTCGCCTCTACTTTCCTCTCAACCCATTCAACAATCCCATTAAGAGCGATTTCGTTGACAACAGGTCCTACTTCAGTATCATCTTTGCCCGCATCACCGACACGAAGGGATTTTACACGATCGTAAAGTTTGTTGACAAAGGTTGAATAGACAGCTGCGTGGATGTAGAGACGCTTTCCAGCACAGCAATTTTGCCCTGCATTGGAGAAAGAAGCCATTACAACGTCTTCGACCGCGGCGGACAAGTCTGCGTCCGAAAAGACGATCAAGGGAGAATTTCCGCCTAATTCTAAGAGGACTTTTTTTATGGTTGACGTCGGTTTAGTGAATTCCATTGCGTTCGCGTCTTTAACGCGTGATCTATCTATGCTCTTTGGTATTAAATTTTCTTCTACATTTCCTATCGTTCTCAAGACTCCTCGCCCTCCTTCGAGACTTCCGGTAAAGCTAACCATTCGAACGTCCTCATTCTTCAACACTTCCAACCCAACGTCTCTACCACCGGGCAATACATTTACGACTCCCTTGTCTACGCCAACGTCCTCAATCACCTTGCCCAACAACAACGCGGCAAGCGGAGTCTGCGGTGCGGGTTTGAGGAGGACTGTGTTACCGCATGCTAATGCGGGGGCCAGTTTCCAGCACGCGAGAAGAAGAGGATAATTAAAAGGAGTGATCAATGCAGTGATACCATATGGGGAAGGAACCGTGTAAGAGTGGTACAAACGAGAGAGTGCGGAATAGGATTCACCATAACGCTTGTCAGCATACCCTGCGAAGAAGCTATTATTATTCAAGAGGGGGAAGAGGGAAGAGGAGGTGAATCAAATTATGGGAAATCTCTGGTCGACTTGCTATATACTTTATTCAACACTTTTTACCGAAAACACTCTACCGCATCGATAACTTCATCTCTTGCATCCTTTTTTACCATTCCCGCATTTGAAACTTCCACTTGTACAAAATCTTGTAAACGCTTTTCGATTCCATCTGCGATGGTTCTCAATACTTCTCGTCTTTCTGTACCGGATAATTGTCCCCAGTGGCCGTGCAAAGCTTCCTGTGCTGCATGAACGGCAGAGGAAACGTCGGCAGGAGTTGAGGAAAGGACGGAAGGGAGAGGTGTGGCGGTAGAAGGGTTTATAAGAGAAAGTGTGGTATAGGTCCTGGAAAGGTTGTGGGAATAATAAGTATTAAAAGTGACGGGTTTGGAAATTTGGTTCAAGAAACGAAGCAGAGGCGTGGATAGAGGAGTGGGTGGCATGAGAATGTGGAATTGAAAGTTGAATTGAGTGGTTCGTAGAATATAAAGTTTGTGTCTAAATGTCTTTTATTATTAACTTTCGCCTGTTATCGCGGTCATCAATATACGTAAATCCAGTCCAGTCAATCTTCCCCCCCTGATAATCGAAACATTTTATTGATCGCCAATATAACAATATTAGCACCTCTGGACGTGCATTCTCTCTTCAAGAATAAAAAAAGTCTCGACAGACAAAAGTTCCATCTTTATACAACTAGATTGCTGCTCTTTTCCACTCTTATCCACTCTTTTCCACCTAATCCCCCTCCCCCCAACAAAATAGCCCATTCTACACTAGTGCCAATTTCCCGACTTAATGAGATCGTGTTACAACATCCAACTTTGATTAATACAACTGCGAAAATCATGTGGCAAATACACAAGACGAATCAGAAGAGATTGCACAAACCACGCACGATAACATAAGAAGCAGAAGGGAATGTTTGGGGGTCTGTGGCAATATAAACTCTCACAACAACGACAAGCGATACCATACACTATTCCGACAAAAGTTACCTGAGATTAGTTTTATAGTGAGAGTGGGCATTGATAAGCATACCCGCGGTCGTATTTCTTCAAGTAAACTGCCGTAAACCGAGTTAAAGAATCGCAGAGTAGTTTACCAAAGAAACAACGCGAGAGCGAACCGATATTATAGTACAAACAAATGGGTTTGACTTATCGCACCTATTTAGACGGAACTCGTATTTTTGGATGCAACAAGTGTCGAACACATCTGTCTACCAGTGATAATATCATATCAAAGGTGGGTTTTCACAAGAAACGAAAAGAGAGAGAGAGAGAGAGAGGAACGAGAGAGAGAGAGAGAGAGACAAACAGAACAAGAGAGACGTACGAATACAGAGGACAGGTGGTTGAGGGAACAAGCGCTTGTTAGTACAAACAGTAGCAGTCGTATTTGGTTATAGTGTATGAGAATTGTAACGTTGGTAGTAATTGGACTGAGTGTGGGTGCGTTATAACAGGCTTTCCAAGGAGTTCATGGTCGTGCTTATCTCTTTGAAACTGTGTAAGTAGTTGTCATTGGTGATCTCTCTCAGTAAAGGAAAATGCTATGCTTGACCTATATTAAAGGTATTGCGTATTTAGACTACACACGCTTATAAATTCTTTCTACCCCCTTCCCGCGAATTTGTGTGGTGATTTGTCTTTCTTCTTTTTCTTTCGTTTCGGCACTTGTTCTTTGCAGAGTTAACGTCGAAGAAGGTCCTGCGGAGGATCGCCAGATGACTACAGGTCTTCACACTGTTAAAGACATCATTTGTTCTCGCTGTCTGGCAGTGTTAGGGTGGAAATACGTGAGTATTTTTGTCTGCATGATTGAAATAAGCATATCATTGTTTTGGGTGTACTTGTCGTTGTTGTTTACTCATTGCATTCTCTTCACATTCCTTTCGCATTCCTTTCTGATTGACAGGAGAAGGCTTACGATCAAAGCCAACGATATAAAGAAGGAAAGTATATTCTCGAGAAACAACTTCTCAGCGATGTGAATTGACATCTTCATACGATCGCATGTAATATGCACATCTAAAACATTGGGAGACTCGCACGCACAATTGCATTTCCTGCTCTCTTCTTCTCTCCCCTCCATCAGTCAATAACTTTTTCTCACCTTCTTCTCAGTATCTTTTTCCTGTATATCACACACCTTCCCGGCGTGTTATTTCTCGCTGTGTCACACTGTACGTCATACATCATCACTATGTTGTTGAAGACTCGATTTCGTTCTTTTGTTGGAATGTTAAATATACAAAACCATATCAAAAACATAATGATCTGTGTTTCTTTTTCTTTTTCTTTTTTTTTCTTTTGTTTTTCTTTGATTTCGTTGTCATATACGAATTTGTTTTTGTCTCGTTTTTCTTTGTAAGTATAATTCTTGTCTCTTTCCCCGTTTGTCAATCCCCTTTTTTCGATTAAATGCTTTCCTACTTTATTACGAAATCATTCACTTCCGACACGCCGAGATTTCAAAGATACATTACTGAGAAGGTTGTGAACCTGTAATTTTTTTGTGAATCGGTTAGTTTTCTTGGTTTTTTTTTTCTTTGTCTTTGGTTAGTTGAGGAGGACACGCCACCACGTGTTCAATAAATTTTCCTCTTTTTTTTTTTCCTCTTGTAAACGATGCATACAAACTATTTGGTATTTCGAGTGGTGAAGTCAATAGGAATAGGATTATATTCTGTTCGGATCGGCGGGGGTTTCGTTCATTAATCATCTACTCGCAGGTGAAGCGAGTAGACTGCAAGTTATTATGTAAGCGTGCGATCGGGATTTATTGGTCAGTGCGTCATATGATATGAAGCAATTGTACAACGTTTTCACGTTGCATGCATCAGAATGTACAGTAGTACAACGGAAAGGGATAATAAATTGCAAAGATTAAAATGGGGAAATCTGCAACATGATTTGTTAATATGGTCAACCCCCTTTTGGCAATCCCTTTTGGTGGATTATATGGAGAAATTGTTTTTATACAGACAGTATTTGAAGGAAGTATATGACTTTTACTATAATAATAAACAGGGCGACTGCAGTCCTGAGCTTTTATGTAATATATTGATATCTTACTTTTGACTATTTCATTTATTAATTAATTATAATTAGGCACTCTCGGTTTTAATCTAGGGAATGGCTTAGGAGAGGTCATTCATAATTACCAGGCTGCCTAATATCGAGAATAGGTTCATTATGGTGGGATCGAACACTTACTTGAACTATGCATAGAGACTAGACAAATAACATAACTTTGGAAACTTGATATCTGTTACTGGACGTAGAAGACGGACCTGTTGCACAATGATGGAATGTTACTATATGTGACGAGAACAATGATCGAGAGTATTTGGAGAGAACATCCGACGTCTGTTGCTATCAACAAGTCATTCTTACAGATATGCTCTATCAGACGATTAGATCCTTTGACAAAACTATCCTATTTTCCATTCGATCTACTTGATCCATAGTCAGATCGAAATCAAAACAGTCTGCTACGGCTCTTGTTCTTTCTCAGATCCTGCGCGATCTAATAACAAGATCATGCCTCTCTGTAGTATTTATTCCGTGACTAACACACCATTGAGCGCGTTTAATAGATTCAGTAGTATGGATCGAAGCCCACGTAGGCGTTAGCATACGACATGGATGAGTTTTACCCAAACAAGTCAATGGAATATTCCAGGGGTTGAATTAGATCATGTACGGCTACAATTGATGAACAGGGGAAAAAAACGATTTTGTCAATCGGCTGACTTACGGGACGCTTTCATTCATTTCCAAACTGTTGCATGTCCTAATAGCGTTTCTCGAAATATGGTTCAACTTCTTTGTCAAAAAGGTCTTTCTGCTTTTGTGGCCATATTTAAAGACTAATCTGAATAAGTGTGCATGGGATATGTAAATATTAATTGATTCGATTGGGCTGCCAGTCAGAAATTCCGATATTATATTTAACGCTCCAACGAACGTTATTGCATCACATACTTGGTGTATTCCGTTTGGAGACGAAGTGCGCGATTGAAGAAAGTATTCCGACTTGTGTTAAAGTAGTATCAAACGTCGCCTTGCACAGTTCCGCATGCTCAAAATAATTGGGTATCCAATGAATTAGATAAACATGGTGTCAATGGTTATGACAACGATAGTGATGGTAATGGAGCAAAAAAGACAGCAGTTTACCTAACTGCTCAAGGTTACTCCTTAAACTGAAATTACCGGATACTTGTAAGATGCTAGAGGAGGTTCATTCTATTCAATTGAAAATCAAGTAAAGTCAGTTGCATCGCCCACGATACTAGCAATCATGAGTCACTTTTACTCACAAACTTTGGACAATGATTCCAATAAACGAATATGGCAAGGAATGTATCAAGGCACAGCACAAATATGTCAAGAGTGTACAGGGAGGTTAGTTCTGGTAAGAACGAAGAGAACATCAAGTAATCGGTCTGCGCATTTGTATCTCCCATAGTAGTAGACGCGCTTTAAAAAACGCAATTACAAATATAATAAAGAATCGGCCGTATGCTTGGGAACGATTGGAGACTCCAGCAAGAAACATACAAGTTGTCTTGACAAGAATTCTTAAAGAAAAATGCCCCAGAAAAATGTCCCAGAAGGCCTCCAGCAGAATTATGGATGCCAAGTACAGTGTCTCACTACTTAAGTACACTGGCAGGGGGGGGGGGGGGGGACAAAAGTATTGCACACTTTATATTTATGATATTGAAGTTTTTTTATTAAACCCAAAAGAAATTTTATTTACTTAAAGTGAACGTCAATAGTTAGTATTTCCTCCATTTGCAG